TGATATTTTCCCAAACAAGTTCGACAGTCCAGAAATAGTTAGTTGATCATCCCATATCCTAGTGAACCAGTCTCTCAATCCTAGTAATAGGTCAGTACTAAAGAATTGTTTCGTTTCAGAAAGTGATAATATGGGTGGGAGTAAAGCCACCCACTTAAGTTAGGCCTCTAATGGTGTTAATAATCAGGCAATTAATAAAGGACATTTCTACAGAAATAAAACAAAAGTTAATGGTTCCAATAAACTACAAATTCAGTTTTTGAATCCAGAGGGCAGTTAGTCAAGATTCCTAGATGTTGGGCTCAAAATATCTTTAGGTAGGATAGTAAGAGCAGGCAGTAATGATTGATAAAATTTTGGGTTTGCAGTTTGAGTATCTTTGGTGATAGCTTTGGATGTTCCAGTGAAATTTTTGAGTGACCTACACAGCTAGAGGTACAAAGAGTGCTCATACATGATCTGTTATGGTGATTCCTTAAAAGTTTATATCATCCAACTTCAGCTTATAGGGCTTTCGGAAATGGGTAGTTTTTGTTTCTGGTGATGCCAAGTGAGGAAGGTCAGGACGGTGATATATATTTCCAATATATAAACACTGGATATATTAACAACCAACAAAATGCACAAAATGGCTGGATCCAATTTACAAGATGAAAAATAGCTCAAATGGTGGGTAATACTTTTTCACTGAAACAAAATTTTTCTCTACAGTCACCTCCATATCACCAAAGATAATCCAAGACTATTTTTTTTAATTTTTTTAAAGATTTTATTTATTTATTCATGAGAGAGAGAGAGAGAGGCAGAGACACAGGCAGAGGGAGAAGCAGGCTCCATGCAAGGAGCCTGACGTGGGACTCAATCCCGGGTCTCCAGGATCATACCCTGGGCCGAATGCGGCACTAAATCGCTGGGCCACCCGGGCTGCCCAAGGCTATTTTTATTTGCAAAAATAAATCCAGTCTTATTAAACTTTGCCTAATTATTTATACAAGTGTAACAAGAATAGGTGATGGATTATACAGGTGCTTTTTAAGTCTGTTTTGCAGAGATCCTCTGGAAAAGCTCAAAGTTAGTTCAAAGTTGGAAAGATTCTCTTTAGAATTCAATTTTAGGAAATACATCAAAACTGTCAAAAGATTTAAACACTTAACTAAATAAGATCTTGGCCAACTATTTAACCAAAGTGACAATGAAAAATTTTATAGGCAATACAGAAGTTTACATAGTTGTGAACAAAACCTCCACTCTTTTAATATTAAGGCCAGGTTTTCTTAAGTAATCAAAAGACCTTAGGAAATTATTTTGATAAAACTCAGAATCTTTGTTTCCTAGGCAAATTTCTTAAAAGGTAACCAAGGACCTGCATACCCTGGCAGGTGGAAAGTCAAGCAAGGCTCTCAGAACACAAAACAAAACAAAACAGAAAAGCAAAGGCTGTCCCTGGAAGGAAAGGATCAATAAACAATGGATACTCAAAGCTAAACTCATAGGATCACAATCCGTAGAACTAATTCTTACAAATATTTTTTCCCTGCTAAACTGAATTTGGAAAGTTAAGGGCAAGAAGAAATGTTTTTGTTCCTCTCTCTCAACTAAGCACTAAGACAAAGATCGAGGAAACTGACACGTTAAGCATTCTTACCCATACTGGCTTTCTGTCCGTTGTCCCAGATCTCAGCTGTAGTCTCCAACATGAGTGGAATATCCCAGCCTTTTATTATCCAATTTCCATCACCAGAAACTGCAGAGGAGGAAAATAGTATGTTTTACCTCCTACTCTTTTAGTTTTTCAGCTGGGACTTTGTAACAAAAGATTGATTAACAAGAGAAAAACATAAAAATTTACTTAATATAATTTTTATGTGTCATGGAAGCCTTCATAAAGAGAAATGAAGACTCAAAGAAATGATTAAACATGAGTGTCTTGGGCAGCCTGGGTGGCTCAGCAGTTTAGCACTGCCTTCGGCCCAGGGCATGATCCTGGAATCCCGGGATCGAGTACCACATTGGGCTCCCTGCATGGAGCCTGCTTCTCCCTCTGCCTGTGTCTCTGCCTCTCTCTCTCTTCTCTCTCTCTCTCTCTCTCTCTCTCTTTCTGTGTCTCTCATGAATAAATAAATAAAAATTTTTTTAAAAACTGATGTCTTTATGCTAGTTTGATGAAAGATGGAAAATCATGGAAAAACGTGGTAGAACCAAAGGTTATGAACTAAGGGTGATAAACTGAAGGAAGCTTAGCAAGTTTTGTTCGTTCAGACTCCTTTGGTGTTTTCAGAGATAAGGCTATAGGCAGGACACCTCTCACATGAGCATCTCATGACTTGCTCCTGAGAAGAAGGGGGATCAGAGAGTCCTACATACACCTGCTGCTTCTCAAATTCCTCCAGTTAAAATGTTCAATATGCTAAGTTACCATGTTTGGAATAGTGTGCCCTGAACTCCATCAACTGCAACTAAATAAGTAATAGGGAAAAGATCTTTATTCAAACTTAAAGTATATATGTGTTCATGTGTGTGAAAAGGAGAGAACCCAAGAAACATGAATTATATATTTCAGAAATTCATACATTGGGAAAGGATATAAATATTATTTGAATCTTCTACTCAAAGTCTATTAAATTGCATTTAGATGGTATTTCTATTCCAAGTCAGACTTAGACATTGCAAACTTACTCTAATTTTCTTCTTAACTAAATGTGTCATTTACTTTTGAACACAGAATAAAGTCCCCAATTTTTAACCAATGAAGTTAAAATTAGGTATACATTACCTACAAACAGTACGTGCAGTCTTATAAGTATGCCCTCAAGATCTATGCCTTAGGACATGCACTATACATAGGACTATCTTTGAGCTGGAGAAACTCAATCTCTCTGGGTGATACCCAACAGGTGTGTATCTTATCTTTTGTTTTCCTTTGGCATGGCCCAATTTTCCTAGGAGATTTTAATTGAATGACTTGTTATTCTCATTTTTTTTAACTTCAGAATCTTGGATCAGGACCAACAGCTTTAAATCAATCCAATTAAGGTGATGTAAGTGGGAGGCCTATGAGAAAAAGTGGGTAACTTATAGGACCTCAGTATTTGAAATCATGTTAAGGCAACATTGGGCTTCATGCTAAAACATCAAGAGCTGACCAATTTACCCTTCTGTCATTCACATCACCTCCTCTCCCCCTCCCAAGTTAACAGATCAATTTATAAACTAATTTGATCCTGCAGATGCGTCTATTAGGCAAATTACAGATATATTTCTTGATAGACATGAGGTACTAGGTAAAAGGAACTCCTATAAATAGGCCATTAATAATGTGATGGTGAGTTGGGGGAGAAGTGTTCTATAATTCTGTGATTAAGTCTCAGCCTTTTAGTGAGCCTGTGCCTTCTGACTCTGAACTTTACAAGTGTTTCTTAGTTGTTTTTTTTTTCTCTCCCCTTAGATAGCACAGGACTGCTAGAGGGACCTGGAGTGGGAAATTTTCCCTTGCCCAGGTCAGTTAGGCTCTGGTTAATAGTTTCCTCTGAGGGCAGGACTTGGTAAGAATGGAGTACTCTGGTATACTTCTGAATGATACCTTCCCCCCCCCACCTCCCTTTGCCAGAAGCACAAGGGGATATTTTTTCTAAAGGTTACTATAGAACCTGTTTGAGCTCCTGGAGGTAAATCTCACAAAATTATGAAGGTCTCCCTATGACTGGGTTCTCTTGGAAATTTATCAGCACTGTGCCTCCAGCAATTCATCAATCCCAATATAGATTTCCTTCCCTGACACTGGTTCTCCCTGTGGTTTCTATATCTCAGTCTCTGCTCTGGGAGTCTGAGACTCCTTTTATCTGCCTGTCTCTCTCTCTGTCCAATCTTAGGGACAGCAGTTTGCCCTACTTCTCCCTTCTCATACAAATCCAAGAGTTGCTGAGTTTTCAGTCTGTTCAGATTTTCACTTAATGTTAAGAGTGAGAGGTGACTTCCAGGCTCCTGACATGCAGAACCAGAAACGAGAAGTTCCAAATGAATTTCAATCACTGCAAAAATTAGTAGTTCAAAGAATGCAGAGATCTAGGAAATAGATGGTTGAGAAAAAAAAACCTGCAGCCTAGAAGAAAAACACAATTTTCTTTAAATAAGGTAGTAAATGGATGATGTGTGATTACCAATATTTATATGGCAAAAACAGACCCATGGAGAAGATGGTAAGTGTGGTGAGTCATTGTCTTTTTGCAAAGTGAGTTAGGACACCTTCTTCCATACAGGATATCTATCAAGAAGTTGTGAGCAACAAAAGAAAGTAAAAAATGGAACACCTCAGTAGATAGACATCCTGAAATGCAAGAAGATGTCCTATTGCCTATAAAGAAAATAATCTTGGCCTTCTGAAAAGTGTCAAAAAAAGCAGACTGGAAGTAAAGCCACAATCTTTCAGTTGCATATGCAATAAATTTGCCACAGAGAAGTAGCTCCTTGCCAGTCAGTTATTTCCAAACTGCAGCCCATAGATAATAAGATCAAGATGATGGTCGAAGAGACCTTTGGTTGGGCAAAAAGATCATAACCATACCACCATTTTTAATCTTTAAGATATATCACATGCATTTAATGCTCTTAATATATCCATATATATTCCAATGGTGTTCCAAGACATTTCCATTGAAATGCGCATAACATGAATTCAGTAGTCCTAATAAACTTATGAATATGTTATATTGCCCTCCAGTTAATACTTTGAATACAATGTCAGACAAAGCATATGAGTTTACTGCAAATTCAAAGATCCTGTTTGAAGTTTCATTTTCTGCATTTTGAATCTCAATTATTCTTTAGTTGTGGAAAAACTGTATGTTTGTTTTTCCTTGAGTATTAATTTTGTTGATTATGTATAATGAAATATATATCATAAAGACCAGCATGTTTCTAATAATGTATTATTCATAATTAAGGTGACTTATTATAAAAGTTTAATGATTAAAACTCTAATTGTGTAACTATTGTTTTCATAGGAAGTTTATAGAGACTCAGCTGAAAACCATTCCCAGTCGTGCATTTTCAAATCTGCCCAATATTTCCAGGATGTAAGTCATTTTTTTTTAAATAAAGAAAAGTTTGCAACTGTGCCATGTTATTTTCTAAATGTGTTCTATCAAGACAAATACTTATGATAAGTCAATATCTACATTGATATTATCTACATCTACAATATCTACATTTTCATATCCAATGTATATGAACAGTTTATATACAAGCTGTTTATTTGATTTTACTACATCTTTAATCCCAAATTCCTACATGATTTCTTAAACCTAATGCAAAATTTAAATTTATTTGGTCTTGAGAATTTAATAATTCTCAATGTATTTTAATGTATCTTGGGATGTGGCAACACCTTAGCCAGGAATCTCTCCTATAACCAGATTTATATATCTGTCTCTAGTCCATCTCTCCTAGTTACCAATTCTTGATTCAAATTTTTTTTGCCACTAAGACAAATTACATTTTATCAGAAATATAATTTCAGACTTCTCTTGCTTAAAAAAACACACAAAAATAATTCTAAACCTTGGAAAACCGAATTGCTATGCACTCAAGAGCAAGGATAAAAAGGACTTTCATATTGAGTTGACAAAAGTATAACTGCATATGAAATGAACAGGACCTTATTTCATTTAATGGATTCTGACAAGCAAGGAAGATAATTCAGGCATACTAGATGACAAAACAATCAGAAGCAACCTGTGTGATTTTGGCTAAACTAATTCATTTCATTACCATTTATTGAGTGTCTATTATGTCATTTCAGGGGCATTTAACATGTTTAATTGTTACTAGAGAGGAGGGTGGTACTAGCATCATATGGGTAGAGGGAGAAACACCCTCCAGGGCATGGAATATCCTTCCACAACAAAGGATTTCTAGCCCAAAATGTCAGAGAGCTGAGGCTAAGGAAACCATTCCAGCCAAACATCTCTGCAGTCTTTGATTTTTCTGACCAGCCTCTCCTTTTTCAAATTCTTGTCTCCTTTGGTTTCCTGGATATTGCTCCCATCCTTCTTTTAACATCTTGCCTTAGCTACTCTTCCTCATTCTCCTTTCCTAGCTTCCTATTTCATTTCATTTAATTCCTTAAATATCAGTTCATTCTTTATTTTGTCCCAGTTCCTTTATACCCTCCTCTCCTCGACTGAACAAGCCCAAAGGTGATTTCATTATTTTGCAATACAAATAATTCCTAAATGAGTTTCTCCAGCCCTGAATCAGGTCTGCATTAGAAGCTTCCTTTTAAGTATCATCATCTTGATGTCCCTCAGTCACTTCAAACAGCATATCCAAAATAAAGCCATTATCTTCCTGATAAATTGTTCCTTCTCCTTCTCCCTTTAATGCCATCACCATTTAGTGACATATAAACTAAATACCTCAAATTTCCCTTTGGTCTTCTTTTCCCTCTACTAGGGAGTTGCTTATTTGGTATCTCTACTTGGATGTCCCAATAGCTTGACTATTACTTCATTCATTCATTCAACAAATATTTATTTAGCCCTACTTTGTGTCCGGTACTTTGCTAGATGCTTCACATACAAAGCTGACAATACTCATGGAGCTTCCACTTTCCTTCCTAAGAGAGTGATGGTGTCAGTCATAGAGTGCTATAGAACTCATATAAGAAACATATCACCTGGATATAGAATGTGGTCAGGGAAGGCTTCCTGAAGGAAATGACACCTTGTGATCTGTATTATCAGGAAAGGAGATGTGGAAATACAGTTCTAAGCAGAAGGGAAAAAGTGGGCTGCTAGTTAAATTAAAATAAATTTGTTGAGGCTGGAGCTTAAGCTGGGATAAGGGCAGTAAAGAAAAATGAAACTGGGAAATGAGCAAGTTCAGAGCCTTGCAACCATATAAAGCAGTTTGAAATCTTCCCTTTGAGCCAAGCCACTGAGTGGTTACAAGCAGGGAAATGACAGATAAGGTGTTTTATAAACATTCCCTTGTGCTGTAGAAAGGGAGTCAAATGGAGTAAGACTGGAGACAGGAAGCTAGTGAGGAAGAGGGGATGGTGAAGTGAGCGATGATAGTTGAGGGAAAATAAGAAGTGGTCATGTGTGCTGGAAAGTTGATTGATTTGGAGGTGGAGGGAGATGGAAGAGAATTTCATCCAAGTGTCTGACCAGGACATCTGTGTGGTTGATGACCATATTCACCGCATTAGAGAGGTTTTCTGTGGGTTTGCTCTGAAGGGTCAGGGAACAAGTTAGGAATTCAATTTGGAGCATATGGCATTTGAGGTTCCTTTGAGGCATCAAACAAGCTATGTCCAGCAGACATCAGGACACAGACATAATTGTTCATTCATTCATTTGATAAATATTTATTCAGACCCTACAATGTGCCCGTGACTGTTCCAAGACATGAACATATGTCAGGGAACAAACAGACAAAAACTGATGTCCCTACGAAGTTTATATTCAAATGGAAGGAAATAGACAATAAACCAAAATCATAATAAATATGTAGGAGTTTAGAAGGGAATAATGGATATGGTAAGAAGACAAGAGCAAAGCAGAGTAAGGATGACTAGAAGTGCTGGGAGTGGGAGATGCTCAGGGAAAGATTCAGGTAGGGATTTTTTTGAGATTTGAGAGTCATAAAGGGACAGATGTGACTGGGACCAGGGAAGGGCATCAATGGGAGAGGGAGAGGCTAAGGAGAGTGAAGAACAAACAGCTTTAATAGCATGAGGTCCCTGAGAAAGCCAGAAGGGATAGAATCCAAACAGACTTGCTATAGGAAGATTGTCATCTTTTACACTATCACAAGAAAGCAGTAGTAAGAGATGAGGCAGGTGCAGGTAAATTAATAGGTTCATTGGTGGAGAATTCAAGGAATTCTCATCTCAAGGTTTCAATCTTTCCTACAAATTATTAAAAGACAATCTGCTAATATTGAGGGTGTAGAGTTAGAAATTTGAGGTTTGAAATAAAAGTGATGGGCAATAAAAGAGAGAGGGTTAGCTAAGATATACAGGACACCTAGGCAGATTTGTAGGTCTTGTTGAGACTTCCTCCATAGAGACCATGTTGGATTCTCCAGTCTGTTTAAATGTTCCCTGAACCACATCAGTGTGCTTATCACTCTATATGTTAATTCCATTTGCCTACCTATGTTACTCACTACTGTGAATTCCTTGAAGCCAGGGAATAGATCTATTTTGTTGATGCCCACTTACTGATGTAGAGTAAATGTTCTACGTAGAGTAAATATCAACAGATATTTGTTGAATCAAAGCACACAGCAACACATGAGTAATCGTTAAAGATCTGGTATGTCTAGGAGGCAAGAGAGAAATCATTTAGGTAATCCTAGATAGGTTTGCCTGGGACAGTACAAATTTCCACCTATTATTTAGGTGTAATTGTTAATAGCAGTCTCTGTAACTCACAAAAATATCCTAGTCTGAATGGTAAATGATATGTTCACCCTAGTAGTGATTACATAAGACTTGTAGACTAAGAAGAAATTTGAGGAAGAGGTAGGATCTGATTTTTTTCTGTTTATAAAAATGGGTAATCAAGAAGGAAATCACTTCTTTCATCCCACTGAATAAATGGTTCCTATATGTTGTCTTCACAATGGAACTCTAAGAGCTCTTTAAGGATGTATAATTCAGTTGGAGAACTAGAAATTCAGTTATTATGACATGGGCAGAATGACTATCCCAGTAACTCATTGAGAAAGCTTTATACTTCTAAACCAAGAAATTCAGGAGAAATTTTAGAGCAATAGATTTATCGTGAGTTAGGAAAACAATTTTGCAGCCTTCAAAATTAATCTTGTCCTTCAGATGGCTCAGCTTCATCCATTATAAATCTCTGCAATCTCTATACCATAAATTAATCTTTTCAATGTCTTCCATTGTTTCCTCTGTGTTAAAGATATATTTGGATCAAAAAAATTTATATAATGGTATCCACAAGTGGCAATGGCTTGGGAGACCTGATAAGTCAAAGGATAATTATTTAGAGATAGATAAATCAAAACAGAAAGTACAGGACCATTAGAATATTCACAATGTCCATGGTAAAAGCCAAATGGAACAGTCATAACTCCTCTCATAAACATTGTATTAATGAAAATATTTTAGTGACAGACTTAATTCAAACCATAGACGAGTGGTTCTCAGCCCTGCCTGCACGTTAGAACCATCTGGGAAGCTTTTAAAAATAAAAATATTTGCACATCATCCCTCATAAACTCTGACTTAATTATCCTGGATCATGTCTTGGACATATGTAAATTTTAAAGGCCTCCTGGGTAGTTCAACAGTATGGCCAAGGTTGAGAATCTATGCTGTGACTACAAGTGGATACCATCTATTAATTCTTAATTTTCCCAAATATCATAGAGATGCCTCTCAATAGAAAGCAGTCATTGAATTTGGCTGCATTAGTCATTCTCATTACAATAGAATTTGTGGAGAGTATTTGAAACAATATTCCCTGTGCATTCTTGACAAGTTGTACTTAGAAGTTTCTCTTTTCTCTCTTTTAATACTTAAAACTTTTATTTGAATTATCTTTTGCTTGCAAAGTTCAAGACAAATCTTGAATTTTCTACTTCATCAAAATAAAGAAGTCTTGAGTGGATATGTAATCACTACCCCATGGAATGTTCCATTAGAGAATTATAGATTTCTCATCTTCTTTGAAACTATATTTCTAATCCTATGATATCACATACTCCATTAAAAATACCTTTTTAAATTCTTGTGTTCTTGTCTAATGTCTTTCATTATCTGCTATTTTGAGTAACTCACCTATTCACTCATTTATTATTACCTTAACACATATTTATTGAGAGTCCACTACCTGCCATGCACTATGAAAGGCACTCAAAATTCAAAGGCCATCCAAAACACAGTTCTCCATTTCAGAGAATGTATAGCCTAATCAGACAACATAAATCAAATATTATCCAAACAACAAGAAAGTCGCCTGTGATAATTAGTGAAAGAAGTTCTTGGTGCAGTGAAATAAATATACTAAAGGGAAATTTGACCTAACCAGGAAATTCAGGAAAAACTTCTGAAGGAAGTATCAGTTCAATGGAAACTTAGGGATGAATAGGACCTATTGGGAATCTTTGAGGTATCACAGGATCTGAAAAAAGTATAACCAATTTTAACAGATTAGAGTGAAATCCTGTTGCCTGATCTAGGAAGCCCCTGATAGAGAAGTTTCATCAAAATTAATATGTTTGGGGTATGTATGACATTCACAATCCCACTAACTTCCTACTCTGCATTATATTTTTGTGCCATTCAGCTACTTGTCAATAGATGCAACTCTGCAGCGGCTGGAATCACATTCCTTCTACAATTTAAGTAAAATGACTCACATGTAAGTACAATGAAAAGAGGAGCATAGACCTCACCCAAGCCAATCTTGATTGATAATTCTGGAGCTTCAAATGGTTGAAACAGCTGGGTTTTTGACCATGGGTCAGAACTTCCATTTGTGATTAAATTCTTAACCGGTTCTCACAGTTTGTTAATCTGTCCAAAATCCCACTTCCCTGTTTGAAAGGTAAAGACAAAACTAGAGTTCTCCTCTTAAATTGTCATTTCATTCTATTACTACTGTGTCAGCAGATTTCATTGGTGTGGATGTCAATGAGTCAATTAATATTTACTGACTACTGACTTGATTCCAGGCCTTTGCAAGATTCTGCAAATCTAACATTTTTCCTCAGAGAATTGTAGCTTCATGAGATTAGAACAGGAGTAGTACTAAGAACTCTGGCCTTGGAGTTGGTTAGAATCAGGTTTGAACCCTGGCTTCCCCTGCCCACTCACTATCTAACCTTGCACAATCATGTAATCTTTCCTAGTCTCACATACCTTATTTGTAAAATAAGGGTAATTAGAGTGTTGCAACTTCATATGGTTAGTATAAATATTGAATGATATAAGCATGTAAGCCCATGCTTAGCACATTAAAACTAGGCAGTGTACTTCATAATTATTCAGGTTTTTTCTCTAATACATTACAATCAATTAAAAGTTGCACATAATCACATTGCATTCTCCTAAGCAGCCATCTAATTTTATGAAATTCTATGAAATATTAACTATTTTCTTGAAAAAACAAAAATACCTATTACTGTATACTTATATGTTCTAGGGGTGCCTGTGTGGCTCAATCAGTTAAGTGTCTGAATCTTTCAGCTCAGGTCATGATCTCATGGCTCATGGGGGTCTTCACTCAGTGAGGAGTCTGCTTGAAAGAGTCTGTCCCTCTACCCTCACCCCTACTCTCTCTCTCTCTTTCTCTCTCTCTCTCTCTCTCTCTCTCTCTCAGATAAATAAATATTTAAAAAGAAATACTAGGGATCCCTGGGTGGCGCAGCGGTTTGGCGCCTGCCTTTGGCCCAGGGCGCGATCCTGGAGACCCTGGATCGAGTCCCACGTCGGGCTCCCGGTGCATGGAGCCTGCTTCTCCCTCTGCCTGTGTCTCTGCCTCTCTCTCTCTCTCTCTGTGTGTGTGACTATCATAAATAAAAAAAATAAAATAAAAAGAAATACTATGTTCTAGACATCATGCTAAACATTTTATATTCTGTGCGTAACCCTCATTTAAGGCTCAAATCAACCCTATCAAGTAGAGATTATTTTTTCCATTATTTATATAAGAAAAATGTAAACTCATAGAAGATAAATATGTTTTCCTTAGTCACATGGTTACTAAGAGGGAAGAGCAGAATTTTTACACTATAAATGTCTTACTGGAAAATTCTTATCCTATGCACTATATTATACTGCTTTCAAGACCACTAAGTTTCAGAATGTTACTTCTAGCTATTGTAGGCAAACTTATATCAGATCAATCATTATTCTGAAAGCACCTAGAGAAGCTAGATAGAAAAAAATCTTTAAGGAGTTTTAAGGGGATTTAAGGGGACAGAAGCAAATCCCAAAAACATTTGCTTGTTTTCCTCTTGAGGTATTCTGTGAACTGTAACCCACAACGGAGAGGCTCAGGTGGAATAGAAGTTTAGGCAATCTCATAGGACTAGCAAACCAAAACTTGGATTTCAGGACTTGTAAAGGAGGATAATGCCTTAGTAAACAAAACCCCCAAGATTTTAGCTGGAATCCCTAAAGAGCTTCATCCCAGAAGTATGGAATAATGGGAAACAGATCAGCCCTCATGAAGACTAAAGCCTCACTTTGGATCAATAAAAAATAAACACGCATACAAAACAAAACAAAACAAGAATATATGGGAAAAAATCAAGAGAAGAAAACCAACAACAGAAAATGATCACAGGAGATTCAAATATTAGGATACTGGAGTGCTGGGATTATTAGGCACAAACTTTAAAATAACTATAATTACTTTATTCAAAATTTGAAAGAGAAGATAGAGAAGTTCAAAATAGAATTGGAAACTGTAAAAAGAATCAAATAGAAAAAAGAACTCAAGAATTCAGTAACTGAAATAAAGTCTAAACACATGAGTTTAACAACAGATTAGATACAGCTCAAAAGAGAATTAGTAATCTGGAAGATAAGTCAGAAGAATATTTCCAGCCTGCAGCATGGAGAAAAAAAGAAAATTTAAAAATATATGGCACAGTAGAGATTCTAGGGTTGCTTAGTCGATTGAGTGTCTGACTCCTGGTTTCAGCTCTGGTCATGACTTCATGGGTCATGAGATTGAGCTCCACATTGGGCACCATGCTTAGCAGGGATTTTGCTTAAGATCCTCTCCCTCTGCCCCCATGCTTGCATACCAGCATGTTTGCATGCTCTTGCTCTCTCTCAAATAAATAAATAAATCTTTAAAATATATAACACAGTAAAAAGTCTAGCATCCCTATCATTGGGTCTCAAAAGAAGAAGAGAGAAAGAATGATAGAAGCAGTATTTGAAGATAATTTACTAAAACTCATAAGGGAATCAAATTGCATATATAAGAAATACTACAAACTCCAATAGGATAAATACAAAGAACCCCATCAAGGGACATCATGGGAAAGATATTAAAAACCAAAGATAAGGGGTGCCTGGGTGGCATAGTCAGTTAAGGATCCAACTCTTGGTTTAGGCTCAGGTCATGATCTCAGGACCCTAAAATCGAGCCCCACATTGGGCTCCCCACTAAGTGAGGAGTCTGCTTCCTCTAACTCTCTCCCACTGCCCCTCTCCACATTCATGCACACACACTCTCTCTCTCTCTCTCTCTCTCTCAAATCAATCAACCGATCAATCAATCAATCTTTTTTTAAAAAAGACAAAGTGAAACTTATTAAAAGCAGCCAAAGGAGGGAAATACATACAAACTTTCAAAGAAGTAGCAACAAGAGTGATAGCTGATTGTTTATCCAGCAGAAAATATATTTCTTTTGGGACATCTTCACCCTTTTATTTGCCACCACTTTTCTCATTGATGTCAATAATTTGCCTTCATTAAGTTCCTTTGACTGAATATCTAGTGTTTCTCAAATGGTGGAAGTATCAACACTCACATGGTCAGCTGTTTCTCCTATGACTCCATTTACATTTAAGTCAAATTTCACTTCCAGCATTATCACGTTTTGTTTCTTTGCTGCCCTTTCATCTCTGCTGGCCAGTTCCCACTTTTAATTATCCACTTTTATAAAATGTCATATGGGTTTATCACTGGAAGCCAAGGAAACAATACAGCTGCACAAACAGCTTTACCGTTTGTGCATGAACGGAATAACAGATGCTCAGTGATCAATCACCAATGACTTTGAAAGATGTGGTGTAATTGGTCACCTATCATGATATGCATCTGTTATTTACATAGTGATGCACACATTGAAGAGCTAGCAGCAAAGTTTATACTTTGTGCAATTTTTCACAGTTAATATATTACAGTAGCCACATTTGAACCATGTTGTCTGGACCAGCTATTATTTCAATTGAACTAAATAATGTTAATGAATATTATGCATATTGGAACCATGCAGAGAAAGGACTACATATATCCACAGAATTAAGATACACAATGCTAAATAAACAAAGGATGGGTGGGTTATAAATAGTGTTAGAGTGTTCTGAAGTTCTTGCATTGTCTGAGAAATGGTAACAGTATTAATAAATAATGAATACATGTTTTAATCCATAAAGCAACAACTAAAATAATTGCAAAAGAATAGATAACAAGCTACTAGTAATGAGGAATAGAATAAAAATTAAATAATACAAGGTGCACCTGGGTGGCTCAGTGGGTTAAGCATCCAACATTGGCCCAGGTCATGATCTCAGGGTGTCAGGCTCCACGCTCAGTGGGGAGTCTGCTTTCCCTCTGCTTCTCCCCTGCTTATGCTTTCTCTCTATCTCTTTCTCTCTCTCATAAAAAAAGATTAATACCAAAGGAGCAAGAAATTATAATAAAGAAATTATGAAACAAATAGATTTAACCCCAAATAGTAAGTATTTAATAAGTATTTACATTAACTGCATTAAATGTAAAAGGACTTAATATTCAGATTACAATACAAAGATTTCCAGATAGGTTAATAAAAATAAAATTCAACTGTATGTTGCTAATAAGGAACATACTTTATGCACAACAATATTGAAAGACTGAAAGTGTATGGATAAAAATATTAACATACAAACAATAACCAAGAGAAAATGGATATAAGTATACCACTGTATATTAACCATGAAGTCTTACTATGTACAAAAGGGGAAATTTTATTATGATAAAAAGAATTACTACAGAAAGATACAATGATTCTAAATTTTATCTGTAGAAGTATAGCTTCAAACCATGTAAAGCAGAAATTAACAGAACTGAAAAAATAGATAATCCACCATCATAGTGGGGATTTGTTTCAACACAGCTTTATCTGATAGAACATGCATACCAAAAAAGTAAATAATGCTGATAAGAAATTAATAAGGTTTGAAGAACATAATTTGCAAACTTATCCTTATTGACTTGTATAAAATATTGTATCCAACAATTGCAGAGTGTACATATTCTTTTCAAGGATACATGGAATAGTTATCAAAAGTGAACATAGGTAAGGCTACAAAAGTAAGTCTCAATAGTTTTCAAAAATTAAAATCAAGTATGTTCTTTGGTAAACAATCACTTCTAAATAATGATAAGTCGAAGAAGAAATCACAATAGATGCTAGAAAACAATTTTAACTAAATGTCAATAAAAATATAACAAATCAAAATCATGAGATGTAGTTAAAGTCATAGGTAGAAGAAAATGTGTATAGCTTTAAAAAGACATAGGTTAGAAATGAAGGCTAAAAATAAATTATTTATATAGCTTTCACAAGAAATTTATAAAGGAGCTGTAAGTTGAAACTAAAGAAAGTACAACAATATCTAAGAGAATTGAGAATC